TGTTTAATTTTTCATTCAAAATTTCCAATTTCAAAATTGGTTTGACAGTTTATTGTCCCAGCGGCTGTGTCGATGCGACTACCTGTATTCTTCTACCATGTAATCTTCGTAACAGGTGATCAATATTAGGGTAGTTCACATTCGATGACTGCAAAATGTCACATAACAACCATTTTTCGCCAACTACTGCTACTTTATCATTTAATGGACATTTTTCTTTTCAAATTCATTTTTTTTTCTTTTTTTTTTCAAAATAAGCACAATTAACCTCAACACACCATACACCTTAAATGATGCAACATGTTTTTGCTTTGTTTTGCAATTGGTACATACATTGTATCAAACGTTGCCGCATGTTACGTTGAACTTACGCTTGTCGGCCGTCACCGTCACGCAGGCCATAATAGACTAAGAAAAGAATTTTAAGACTGGTTAACTTAACTTTTTGGCTACCACCCCACCACACTAAGTGCCTGCAAATTGGTATGTGTATGTGTGTGCATGATCCCAAAGAATGTGTGCATGCATGCATGCATCATCATCATCACCATCAACCTGATTCTAATTGCCGACGCATACGCATCAACATTGTCAGCTTTTATATGTCTGACGAAAATTTGGCAAGAATATATGCCTCTTAGTAGCTGTTGATCACAGCAGGAAAATATTTTTGGTTGTTATTGTCTGTTGTATTGAGAATATGAGGAAATGTGCAGTGCTTCTTTAACCATATGATTTCACACGACAACATACGGGAGAGTAACTAAGGTTATCTTTCTGTGTTGTCAATTGTGGAGGATTGTGAAAAACGCCAAAATGTTGATGCTTTCTAACAATTGAATACAGAGTTGAGGTAAATAGTGAGATAAATGTTAACAACATCTCATGGTCAAAATCCATCATAAATTTATTCAAAAAGTCAGAGATGGGAACTTTTTTTCTTTATTTGTTAAATTTTGCAAGGTAAATTACAGAAATTCAGAGCTGTACATTATTATGGCTGAACAAGAAAGGTTGCTCAACTTCAAAGAAATTAGAAAAATACAACTCTGTGCTCGAGTCATACGGGAGAGTAACTAAGTTTATCTTTCTGTGTTGTCAATTGTGGACGATTGTGAAAAACGCCAAAATGTTGATGCTTTCTAACAATTGAATACAGAGTTGAGGTAAATAGTGAGATAAATTTTAACAACTTCTCATGGTCAAAATCCATTATAAATTTATTCAAAAAGTCAGAGATGGGAACTTCTTTTCTATACTGTAAAATTTTCCAAGTAAATTACGGAAATTCAGAGCTGTACATTATCATAACTGAATAAGAAAGTTTGCTTAACTTCAAAGAAATTAGAAAAATACAACTCTGTGCTCGAGTCATACGGGAGAGTAACTAAGTTTATCTTTCTGTGTTGTCAATTGTGGACGATTGTGAAAAACGCCAAAATGTTGATGCTTTCTAACAATTGAATACAGAGTTGAGGTAAATAGTGAGATAAATTTTAACAACTTCTCATGGTCAAAATCCATTATAAATTTATTCAAAAAGTCAGAGATGGGAACTTCTTTTCTATACTGTAAAATTTTCCAAGTAAATTACGGAAATTCAGAGCTGTACATTATCATAACTGAATAAGAAAGTTTGCTTAACTTCAAAGAAATTAGAAAAATACAACTCTGTGCTCGAGTCATACGGGAGAGTAACTAAGGTTATCTTTCTGTGTTGTCAATTGTGGAAGATTGTGAAAAACGCCGAAATTTTGATGCTTTCTGACAATTGAATACAGAGTTGAGGTAAATAGTGAGATAAATGTTAACAACATCTCATGGTCAAAATCCATCATAAATTTATTCAAAAAGTCAGAGATGGAAACTTCTTTTCTATACTGTAAAATTTTCCAAGGTAAATTACAGAAATTGAGAGCTGTACATTATTATGGCTGAATAAGAAAGATTGCTCAACTTCAAAGAAATTAGAAAAATACAACTCTGTGCTCAAGTCTTATCGAGTCAAATAGACTTAAATATGCAACAGTCGGATTTGTCTATTTTTTATTTTTATACCCTACCCTGGCTAGAGAGGGAGGGTATATATCATTTGATACGGCAAAAACGTGCTCCAACGAAATAATGGTTTTATACCCTTGATTTCCTTGGACCAAATCCGTTTCAGGACATTTGGAGTCGATCTAGCGATGTTCGTCCGTCCGGCTGTCAGTCTGACTGGCTGGTGCTCACGATAACTCTCGAAGAGAGTATCCGATTTAATCCAAACTTGGTATATCGTAATATAATTGTCAAACTTAGATCAAGTTCAGAGATGGACAATATCGGTCCACTCCTTCTGGTACCTCCCCTACAAAATGTCAAAATTGTCAAAGAAAATAATTTATTGCACAGAAGGAGAAAGGATAATTTGATTTTGTTCCAACTTGGCAAATTCTAATATTTGCATCAGTTCTGGGTCAGGTACGAAAATGGACAATGTCGGTGTATTCCATCAAGCACCTCCCCCACAAAGGTTCAACATTTTGAATAATTAGAACTCTTGTAGAATGTGATGTAAGTGTCCGATTGTCTTCAAATTATACAAATCATAATAGTTTTATTAACACAATATCTGGCGTGAACATGGAATATATCGGTGCACTCCTTCTGGTACCTCCCACACAAAGTGCTCAAAATTAAGTATCCAAAAAGCTCATAAAACGCGAAGTTAACATCCGATTCCATTCAGACTTGGCCGATCTCAATATTCCCATCAACGCAAAATCTGATATAAAGATGGTACAGATCGGAGCATTTCTTCTGGTACCTCCCCCACAAAGGGTTGAATTTTTGAGTAAACAAAATTATCATAAAATCCGAAATAAGCTTCCGTTTCTCTTTAAACTTCACAAATCATAATATTTTTATGAACCCAAGGTCTAGTGTGAAGATGGGAAATCTCGGTCCATCCCTTCGGGTATTTTGAAAATTCATGAAGTTCATAAAACACGAAATTAACAACCGATTCCATTTAGACTTAGTAGATCTCAATATTTCCATCAACACAAGATATGTTATAAAATTGGTAGAGATCGGACCATTCCTTCTGGTACCTCTCCCACATAAGATTGAAAATTTTAAAAACAAAACGCTCAAAGAATGCGATATATGCATCCAACTCTCTTCAAATTTCACACATCCAAATTTTCTTGCGTTAGCAAAAATGTGATATACATCCGCCAACCCCTTCTGGTACCTCACCCACAAAGGGTAACAATTTCCAATGCTTATATCTGTCATAACTTGCGAAACAAGTGCTATATCTAAATATTTCTTTAACAAGATATCTGATATGAATATGTAATTTGTCGAAATTTATGATTTCGCACTAAATTGGATATAAATGTTCGATTTCCTTCAAATTTTGCACATACCAATATTTTTATCTGTATTACATGAAGTATGAAAATGGAATACTTCGGCCCGCTTTAGCTGTTACCTCAGGTATATTTCTTCATTTTCCAAAAATTTGCACATATCTCATATAATGTATAGGAAATGGTCGATATAGTCCAAATTCGACACGTTGTAATATTTATATCGGACTTAGGTCAGATACGAATTGGTCAATATTTGTCAACTGCTAAATTTGATAACGCACAAAAAATGAAAGAAATAAATATGTAATCTATTTTGTTAAGCAATTCTATCTATGAAATTGGGGGTGAAAATCAGTTATATAAAATACTAGTGGTAAGACAAAAAATAATTGCAACTTTTCCTTAAATCAATTAAATTAAGATTTCCTTAACTCACAGTCTACCAGAGTTTCTTGAAATGGTGACTTTTGTCTTTCCTCTCATTTGGCTGTCTTTCCTCTATTTTTTGCTCAAAAAAATTACGTTTTTCTTCTAGTGCTTATATTGGCAACACTTTTTTTGTTTGGCAATTAAAAAACGAACCTCAATCAAATTACCGTTAAATTGATTTGGCTTTTGCGACAAATTCTTCTCTATATCAGTTCATTCAATGACGCTTTTTGTCTCCCTCATTTCTTTGTGGGGGGATTTTTGACGAAGGGGAAAGGACTACGAGTGTTATTTACTCTTTTTAATAAACAAATAAAGTATTTAAAAAAGATGTTAAATTAAATTTTGTTGTTCTATGAAAAAAAAAAAAATGTCTATATCAGTTATATTAAGTGGCCTGCTCTTGCTCTCTCTTTCTCTGTGGCTGTCTCCCATTGTTGTTGTGAGTAACTGTGTTATCTCTTTGGCAAAAGGGGAAGACCAATTACAGAGTTGATTTTTGCTATTGATTTGCAAAGATTAAATGGTTTTCTGAAGAAATTTTATATCAAGTAATTTATTTATTAAATTTAATTGTTGATTTTATTAAATTCTTTAAATTTCTTTATTTGGATTAGTCACCCATCCAAATAAAAAAGGAAAATGTTATCATTCAAAAGCCGAAGTGCATCGTGTTTTTTTTTTGTTTGTTTTCTATGTCAAAAACCGAGTTCAAAAATTGTTGTTCGTTGAGGGCTCTCGTATGCCTGTGTGTATATAACACACATGCAAAAAGCAAACGTTGTTTAGCGCCATAATTTGAAAATTTGAAAAAAGCAAATCGTATTTTTTATGGCTTGTCAATAAATTATTTTTTAGGGGCATAATTGTTTTTAATGTTTTATTTTTTCTGTCTTTTTTTAATTTTGTAGAAATTGTCTAATTGGTTAAGAAAATGTAATAGCTATAAGGGAAGACTAAGTGGCGAAGGCCTAATTTTATTTTGTATTTTTTTTTTAATTTCATTTTTAAGTTTATTAATTTTGCAATATTTTTTTCTCTTCTTGGCAAACTTGACATCCAGCTATAAACATATTTATTTTTATTTAACTTGGGTGTGTTTTTTCCTTTTTTATTTTTTTTTTCTGTTTGTCAATTTTTTTATTTTTTTTTTAATTTTTTCAAATAATTTTATTTTAGTTAAAAAAAATATATTTTCTTCGTACTTACAGTTTTCTTGACGACCCTATAATTGGGGATGCTTTAGCAACAATATGTTTTGGATTTTCCTGGCTCTCTGTTGCTTGGCTTCTTTGGGAACAATTCTTCTTCTGGTGGTACCCCCGAAGAATATGAAATTGTTGGTCGTGGTTGTTTTCGTCGTCACACTAGTCACTACTAGTAGTAGAACAATTTTTGCAAATAACAAAATATTTTTGTGATACAACCAACGCGAACACACACACACACAGACGCACACCTTAGGATGAAATTGAAGAAGACTGTGCAAAACACACAACAGTCACAACAGATGCAAGAAGACCTGGGCCAGTGTATAGCTGCTAGTATAGAAGCAATAGTACTACTGGTTAACAAGAAGAAATTTCAACTGTATACTGACTGGCCTGGCTGGCTGGCTGGCGCTGAACGAAAATCAACTGAACTGAAGTGAACTGAACTCAACAACACAACGCAAGGCAAAGCAAAGCAAAGCAACGGCAGGGCACACGGCTACAGCTAGCTGTGAATACGTTGATACTACAATAAAATGCTCAGAGCTTCTCTACGCTACATGTACGTGTGTGTGTTTATTAACGAATAAACGGTAAGGCAAGAACAACAGAGGGACAGACGAGCAAGCAGGCACAGACAAGCCAACCAACCAGCCAGAGTATTCAAAGCAAAGCAGCCAGCCATCAACAAAATTTTTATATGAGTGAAAGAAACCAAAGAACATTTGTGTGAGGCTACCCCTCGCAACGCTGCCTGCCTGCCTGCCCGCGCCCTGGCTGGCCATCACAGCTACATGGTGGTGGCGGCGTTTGTATGCAGGCAAGCTATAACAAGCAGAGCTGTGCTGTGCCGTGCTTGTTCTTCCACACACAATATTGCTTGGGCAAATGATGGGAAAGGAGCAAGGCAAATGGTTGGCGGGGTTTGTTGGTCGCTTCATTCGTACATTCTACATTGAAATTTTGTGTTGTCGACGACAACGACGACGATGATGACGATGATGTTGTTGTCGTCAACATGATGATTGTAACAATGTTATTGTTGTTGTTGTTATTATTTTTGATAGAAAAGGCAGGGATTTGGCTTTTTGAGGGTTATGTTGCTCTCCAACTATGAGTAGCCATATCTAGGTGGGTTGACATGGGTTTTTTTAATACAATGCAAACTCTCGTCACAGTAGAGTTATTTTTTTTTCTCAGTGTGCTCTCCTCCTCTCATCGGCCAAATATCACCAAAAAAACCCCCCTCTCCAACAGTCAAGCAAACAACAACAATCAAATGAAATCAATGAAAAATTATTTCAATACGATAGCAGTAGCAAAACAGAAAATCCTCAACACACAGCAATACTACTAACTACTTCCCTACCCCTCTCTCTCTCTGAACGATATTGCCTTTGCATGAATAGTTGATTTGCTGTGGGTGACATATGTGTATGTAGGAGAGTGTGTCTGTGTTTTCGTATGGCAGAGACTATTGGGGCTACACGAAATGCACAGAGAGAAATAATACCGTAATTTAAATACATACAAGAGAAAAATATGAGATAAAGCTTGAAATTCTAAAGGTGAAAATACATAAAACCATAGTATGGATGGTATATTAAATTCCGTTTGTAACACCTCGAATTATTCATTTTAGACCCCACAAAGTACATATATATTCTTGATCAGCATAAAATTCTATGTCGATTTAGCGATGTCCGTCTAGCTTCCGAACGAAATGAAGTAGGTTGATAAAATTTTACTTAAATGTATATTATGTCTGCAGGACTTTTGGTATGGAAAATGGGCCATGTAGGTCCACGTCTTCGTATAGTACCCATATAATTGTACCTCCAGTTATTCGGTATTTTGGTGATTTAAGCGAGATTATTCACCGGAATTGTTTCAAATTCGGTATTTGAAGTTCGCAATGGATACTACAGCCTAAGGCAGAAAATTGTCTGTGCAGGTCCACGTTTTCGTATAGCCCCTATATAATGGTACCTCCCTATTTTTGGTATTTTAGCGATTTAAGCTAGACTATTCACCAGAATTGTTTCAAATTTGGTATTTGAAGTTCGTAATGGATACTACAGCCTATGACAGAAAATTGTCTGCGCAGGTCCACGTTTTCGTATAGCCACCAAATAATTGTACCTCCCTATTTTCGCTATTTTGATGATTTTAGCGACATTATTCACTGGAATTGTTTCAAATTTGGTACTTGGAGTTCTTAATGGATACTGGAGCCTGTGACAGAAAATTGTTTGTACAGGTACATGCCTTCGTATAGCTTCCATATAACGGCACCTCCCGATATTCGGTATTTTGATGATTGTAGCGAAATCATTCACCGGAATTGTTTCAAATTTCGTATTTGAAGTTCACAATGGATACTACAGCCTATGACAGAAAATTGTCTCTATAGGTCGACGTCTTCGTATATCCCCCATATAATGGTACCTCCCCATTTTCGGTATTTTGATGATTTTAGCGACATTATTTACCGGAATTGTTTCAAATTTGGTATTTGAAGTTCGTAATGGATACTACAGCCTAAGGCAGAAAATTGTGTGTGCAGGTCCACGTCTTCGTATAGCCCCCATATAATGGTACCTCCCGATATTTGGTATTCCGATGATTTTAGCAACAATATTCACCGGAATTGTTTCACATTTGGTATTTGGAGTTCCTAATGGATACTGGAGCCTGTGACAGAAAATTGTCTGTACAGGTACATGCCTTCGTATAGCTTCCATATAACGGTACCTCCCGATATTCGGTATTTTGATGATTTTAGCGACAATATTCACCGGAATTATTTCAAATTTGGTACTTGGAGTTCTTAATGGATACTGGAGCCTGTGTAAGAAAATTGTCTGTGCAGGTCCACGCCTTCGTATAGGCCCTATATAATGGTACCTCCCTATTTTCGCTATTTTGATGATTTTAGCGACATTATTCACCGGAATTGTTTCAAATTTGGTATTTGAAGTTCGTAATGGATACTACAGCCTATGACAGAAAATTGTTTGTACAGGTACATGCCTTCGTATAGCTTCCATATAACGGCACCTCCCGATATTCGGTATGTTGATGATTTTAGCGTCATTATTCACCGGAATTGTTTCAAATTTGGTATTTGAAGTTCGTAATGGATACTACAGCCTATGACAGAAAATTGTCTCTGTAGGTCGACGTCTTCGTATATCCCCCATATAATGGTACCTCCCGATATTCGGTATTTTGATGATTTTAGCGACAATATTCACCGGAATTATTTCAAATTTGGTACTTGGAGTTCTTAATGGATACTGGAGCCTGTGTAAGAAAATTGTCTGTGCAGGTCCACGCCTTCGTATAGGCCCTATATAATGGTACCTCCCTATTTTCGCTATTTTGATGATTTTAGCGACATTATTCACCGGAATTGTTTCAAATTTGGTATTTGAAGTTCGTAATGGATACTACAGCCTATGACAGAAAATTGTTTGTACAGGTACATGCCTTCGTATAGCCCCCATATAATGGTACCTCCCGATATTTGGTATTTCGATGATTTAAGCGACATTATTCACTGGAATTATTTCAAATTTAGTATTTGAAATTCGAAGTGAATACTACAGCCTAAGGCAGAAAATTGTCTGTGCAGGTCCACGTCTTCGTATAGCCCCCATTAACGGTTCCTCCCAATATTCGGTATTTCGATGATTTTAGCGACATTATTCACCGGAATTGTTTTAAATTTGGCATTTGAAGTTCGTAATGGATACTACAACCTATGACAGAAAATTGTCTCTGTAGGTCGACGTCTTCGTATATCCCCCATATAATGGTACCTCCCCATTTTCGGTATTTTGATGATTTTAGCGACTTTATTCACCGGAATTGTTTCAAATTTGGTACTTGGAGTTCTTAATGGATACTGGAGCCTGTGACAGAAAATTGTCTGTGCGGGTCTACGTTTTAGTATAGCCCCCATATAACGATACCTCCCGATATTCGGTATTTTGATGAATTCAGCGACATTATTCAACGGAAATGTTTCAAATTTCGTATTTGAAGTTCGCAATGGATACTACATCCTGCAAAAAAAAAATTGTCTGTGCAGGTCCACGTTTTGGGTTAGCCCCCATATAATGGTACCTCCCCATTTTCGGTATTTTGATGATTTTAGCGACATTATTCACCGGAATTGTTTCAAATTTGGTATACGAAGTTCGTAATGGATACTGGAGCCTATGACAGAAAATTGTTTGTGAAGGTCCACGTCTTCGTATAGTCGCCATATAACGACACCTCCCAATAATTCGGTATTTTGCTGATTTTAGCTACGTTAATTTTTTTTAACACATTTTTTTATGAAATTTGCCAAATTCAAAGTTCGAAAGTCCCGTCCAGCTTTTCTTACTAGTTTTCTTATCCATATTTTGAGATCTTTTCCAAAATAAAACCCCCCGTTTTTTTCGTTGAGTGTATTTTCACCGCAACGGCTTGTTGATGGCTGTACTAAAGTAGAAAAACATTTCTGTTCACAGCAAGTCAACAAAGTACTCACATTGAACGACGAACGAAACGAGGATATGCTGTGTGTATGCGACGACCGATGGATGTAAATGCAAGAGGGGAGCCAAACGAATTAAAGAGAGCAGTAAAGGGGGTCGGTCGGTCGATTGGTCGTCGTCATCATAGCCAACGAAAACACACGCACACACAAGTTCCCCAGTGTAGAGTATAGGCGGATAAAATACACACAACATAGTTTTCGCACAATATCATCAACGGCAAGCAAGCAACGACAACAACAACAACATCATGAGCCGTCGCATTGAAAACCGTCCGTATCTACTTTAGTTGTACGCAGTAAAAGGCAGTCAACGGCAGCAGCAAACAGTATATCTCGTCAAAGTACTCCCTATCTATCTCTTGGTGAATGGATGGTTTTGGGTTGTTCGGTTGGTGTACGGTGTGCTTTCTTGCTTCACTCGTACGTAGGTACGTACGTACGATGCAAACACTCTCCTCAACACATAAAATGCAAAATGTATGAGAAACTAAAGGAGGGCACACACACACACACACACTCAGCAACTACCCCACTCTTGACTCTCGTTGAACCAACGACCAAACAAACGAACAACAACGACCAGCCAGCAAGCCAGCCGGCCAAAGAACGAACGAATGAACCAAGCAAAGGCAGCAAAGGCATAGAGTACAGCACAGCCACAAAGAAAATTGAAAAGCAGTCGTTTGCCAAATAAAATGCTGGTTAAATATGCCCAGAAAATATTAAAATTTTTTTGAAAATTTTCTATAATTTTTATAAAATTTTTTAATGGAAAATCTCTTGAGAATCCCTCCTCTAATGAGAAAAGTGAGAAGAAAAAATTAACTCTCTTCCCAGAAATCTCATTGTCTTCATGGGTGAGCACAACTGTAACGGTTATGTATACAAAATCAACGGCCACTAGGACTGCTCAGTAAATGTCATACTACT